ACTCAACTATTAATATATCGCCAGTAGCAGGATTATTATTTAGCAATCAAACAGGAGGAGGGGATAAAGTATTAGCAGAGTTTAAAAACGCAACGAGTTATATAACTTTACAAGGTGATAAAATATTTTGTAATCATACATCTGATGACACTATTAAACAACTTGATCTAGCTAATAATAATGCAAGTTATAAAATGAGTGGTAAAATAGAAACGCCAACAGGTGGGTTAGTTGTAGAAAACACAGCGGATGGTAATTTATCAGTCACAGTTAGAAATACTGATAATTATATTACTTTTAACAATGATAATATTGATTGTTATAATTCAGTTGGTGATACAGGTAGGATTTCAAATTTAAACACCAATGCTAGTCAATATGTTAAATCACATTCGTTATTATTAGATACAGGAGCAAATACATTAACAGGCGGCTATACATTAGATGTGGTTGATAGTGCGATTATTAGACAAAATTTAAAATTAGATGGTAATTTAGATTTAACAAGTTCAACAGGAGATATTCAATTACCAACATCAGGGTTTGATATGTTTAGAAATAGTGGTGATGCTAATTATAATCTTAGAATTAGAGACACACAGGGAGTTTTTGAATTCAGAAATAGAAACTTTAGATGTATGAACCCGAGCAACCCAGCAAATGGAACGTAAATGATTTTACACTACACAGGGGGCGATTATCGTTTAAGAATAGGAAGTTCAACAACAGCAACAGTAGGAATAGGAAGACAGTATAATTTTTCATATCATTTAACGGTAGGAGGTATAAGTAATTTTAATGAAACCCGCGTTGAGAATGACGCAACAGTTTTAGGTCAGCAATTACTATGCACTGATGCCCGTATCTTTCAGCGTAGTGATGCGAATAATTCATTAAATGTAATATCAACAGAGGAGATAAATTTTAGTCTTCAACCTGATAGAACCACAGATCCTACTACTGGCAGTATAGCAGTTCAATTAAATGATACTAACGGAATTACATTGAATAGAGCCGTTACAAATAATCTTACTTTTAATAGCATTGGTATTGTTGGTGAAAGCGATGTTGTTAGTTGGGGGCGCTTTATGTTTCAAAATAGTAGCGAATTAAAAGAAGTTTTAGACACTCAATATAAGTTATATATCAGAAATGGCGATGCGTTAGGTGATATTAATTTAACAGTTGGATTAGAAGCATCAACGCCAGAAATTCAATTAACCGATGGAAAAGTAAATATATTAGGTAATTTGGAAATACAGGGTCGCAACGAGTATTAATAAATAATCCAGACACCGATGGATTTATTAGATTAAGCAATAATAATTTATCAAGATTAGATGCCACAAATACAGGCGTTGATGTTTACGGTTTCTTTACTACAACAAATAACGCAGATATTGGAGGAACTTTAACATGCACCGCTTTAATAGAAACATCAGATTAAAAATAAAAAGAGAATATTAAAGAAGTGAATACCAAAGACTGTTATAGTGTAGTTAAATACATTAAACCGAAAACATTTAATTTTGCCAAGGACGGAGATAAAAAGAGTAATCCAGGATTTATAGCCGACGATGTGAAGAATGCTAAGTTGCCACCTGAATGGGAAAACATAATCTTTTATAATGATGATGGTATGAAACTATTAGCATACAATAAAATGACAGTTATCTTGCGGGGCGCTTTGCAAGAAATGCAAAAAGAGATAACGTCTCTGAAAGGCGACTTAACGAAGTTGAAAAAGAAGGTGAAAAATGATAGCGATTAATTTAATAAATATAAACTATTGTGTATGAGCGATTTTTACTCTCAGTACGCTACCTGTATGGAACTACTTAAGCAAAAAAGCAAAGACATTTCGGAAACCGATATACTCCTAAAAGCGATGAAAGATCTGTTAAATAAATTACAGGAAGAAGAAGAAAAAGTAGAAGCATTGAAAAAGAAGAAGAAATGCCCGTGTTTCGGCTTTACTCATTTACATTGTTGTAACCCTAGTTTGTTTTGATTAATAATAATATCTTGTTAATATTATTATTCATCATTCATTGTAATCTTTTGGTTTAAGTTTTTGTAAAACATATCTTCTTTATTTGGTTGCATTAAATCTATAAATAAAAGCTATGTTTTTCATCAGTGGCTAGTTTATATATTTGTAACAAAGTTGCTTTATCATATAATGCTGACAGTTCCTCTAATAAACTATCTAAATCTTTTTGGTTTCTTAATCTAAAAACATATAACTGAGTAACATTTTTTCTTAAGACAGGCGATAAGCTCATCCAAACTTGTGTCCCGACGAAGGTAGAACAGTAGTAATGCCTACCCTTACAGTATAATTTCATTAGATGGACTGAATTACGAGCCACCTCTTTTGTATCTGAAAAATCATCCACAATCAGTGCAATATGGAACATATTATCATATTTGTTTTTCTTCATATATTGAACGACTTTTTCTTGTGTGTTAATAACCCTATCCATGTCTTTTGGGTCATAGTAATCAAAATACATAGGGTCTTTATCTGTATGTTCTTGCTTCATTTCTTTTTCTATGTAATTCTTTGCAGCATTGCAATTATCATCCAAAAATATTGTAGGAGACCATATAAATATTTTCTCAAAGCAGCCACGATAGACATCTAATATTAAATTCGTTAATACAACTGTTTTACCTGTTCCCGACGGGCCTAATAGCAACTGACGCGCGGGTAATTTACCTACATGTTCATATTTTGACTGCTTACTGTTATATTCTTTGGTTTTGTATGGTTTCATTTCAGGGACGTTACTCATAATTATTAATACATAGAAATTATATGATTTAAATATATAATGGAAACATCATATCAGGATTATATTGATATAATAAATGAAGTTGAGAAAATAGAAGAAGTGGTAATAACAGATAATAAAATTAAAAAGTGTTGTAATAGTTCGTTGGAAGTTCTAAAATGTATTCTTTACTATTTTAAGAATTCTAAAAAATCTAAGAAAAATTAATGAGTGACCATCATAAAGAAACTAACGAAGGTGGCTTCCACCTAAACACGGATGGGTTAAACTGCTTACCTTGCAAATGTAGAAAGAAGACTTTTCACAAAGAAACTAAGATAAACAACGAAGGTAAAACAATCATTGAAGATCGTAGTTCTTGGAAAGTTGGAAGCAGTAGAGGACTTACCCCAGATGAAAATGAAATATTCAGAAGCAACATACAAGATAATGAAGGTGTTGATACAGTGACCACCGGATGGGGATCAAGAAAACCCACCCCAGAAGAGAGGTTAGAAAAAGTCGAGGAGGATGTTGAAAGGATAGACAAAGATGTAACTATTTTAAAGAATAATTTAAATATGATGGATTAAAAAATCTAGTTTATATTGACAGATGCCGTCCAGGCAAGGACAGACCCCCGCGAACCAGAAACAGAAACAGTGCTATGCCCATTGCTCCGTGTGTGATGAACAGTTTCATAAGCACACCATAAGAGTGTGGAAACGATATGAATTCGTAATTAGTTTCATTAAATCTTAAGGGATTGATATGTTACTTCGTAATATATGAATCGCTTTGCGAATTCAAAATTTTCATAATCTCGCATTATGAAAATGTGTATATTGTTAATATAATCACAATAGAAGTAAATACGATATTAGTTGATTTTGATCCATATACTGAAACAAATAATGTTGTTACCAGGAAGTGTTATCGTTGTAAGCAAGACAAAAATATTGATTGTTTTAAGCGTTGCTATTACGCTGGTAAGCATTCTTACTATTATGTTAAATACATTGCGACTTGCTCTGAATGCTTGGATAAATCTGTCAAATAAACTGCGATGCAGTAAATCTTAAGAAAATAATATTTCTGAGGAAAATGAATTAAAGAAATAACGCCTATATATATTAACAGGGAAATGTTCAATCAAAAAGAACAGGACGAAATACTAAATAACTTCTTGGATGTTGTCAAGGTTCACGACTACTTCAGGGAACTCAAGGAAGAGCGACGGAATTGTAAATGTAAAGATTCTAAGAAACACGAACGTTATTCCACTCTGTATGAATTGTCACTACCAGAAAATATTATTAATAATATTTACGGCTTTGCTTATTTTTGCCGTAGGTGTCCAGAGCGCCAGTTCAAGAAGGAGAGGATAGAGGGAATTATCAGACGTAATATACTACATGTATATCATGTAGATAGACGTATTTTCTCAATTAAACATGACTTTCCCATTTATGACAGGGTTAAAAATGATCTATTCAAGAAATTGTCAAAAAAAGATATACAGTGTTCAAATGGATATATGAGGACTGGATGAAAGTTAAAAATATTGATATTCGTAAAAAGATAAACGATTTTGGTTTTAATCCAGATGTATTTATTAGGGACTTTAATAAAATTGTTGGAGCTCTTATGAACAAACCTGAGTTTGTCTTAATGGATTAAACAACCTAACCAGCATAGTTATAGTGTAATTATAATACATAAGCAGTTATATATTATAATTACAGTGTAGTTACAACATGATCGGAGAATCCGAGAAGATAAAGCGGACGCTTTACCCTTAACCCTAAACCCTGAACCAAATTCTACAAGAAACCCCTTGCCTATTTAGGCTAATGATGCCACCTTAGAGATAATAGATGGGGTAATGGTTATTCCTAGAATTGTATTGATACTGGGGAAGTAGTAGTGATATATCAGTGAAATGTAGGGGGGAACCTAGGAATAATCATCTAATGGGGGAAGTAGTAGTGATATATCAGTGAAATGTAGGGGGGAACCTAGGAATAATCATCTAATGGGGGAAGTAGTAGTGATATATCAGTGAAATGTAGGGGGTAGGAATGATCATCTAATGGGTTGGCGGTGGCATTATTAGCCTAAATAGGCAAGGTATACTCTAACTGATCATTGGGTTGAAAAGTGGCTACATTCCTGAAGCATTCGTCTGCCTGTGGGGCTTGTGTGAAAGATTGTGACAGAAAGGACCTCCGCAGCAACATGCACATCATCCTGGGATGCGGCATCTTGGTTCAACCTTGGCTGCGCGACGCTGCGCACTTCGTTTCCCTGACCAGAACCCATAGCATCTGGAGCTTCGCACTTGAAATCCCGCTTAGCCAGTACGTGCCACCGCGGATCCACTGCAGATCTATTGGATTCGGGGTATATGATGTCAATGCCTGGGCCTTTCTTTTGTTTGGGGTCCCAAGGGTGCATGCCCTCACTAGGTCACCCTGGGGCAGTGGAGAACTGCCCAGACCAGCTGCTTCAGCAGTCCTTGTTGAATGTATCTTAACCCGTTCCATCTCGAAGCGCTGATGCAGTTTTTTCATTCCCGAAAGCTTCAGCGAAGGGTTCTTCGGAGAAAAAAAACGTTCGCCCACCATCACCACACTAATCACTACGCTACCATCACCACACTACCATCACACTACCACCACCACACTACCATCACCACGCTACCACCACCACAGTACCATCACCACAGTACCATCTCAGCTGCATCGCTTCTGTAGCGCGATGCACCCCTCTGCGGGGATCGTGCGTGTCGGAGCGCTCCCGCTGTGCGTTTTTGGTATGCTTATAACTGGCCTGTCGCACCCTTTGCGGCACAAATGTAGTACGCCGCGGACGCCCGGAGCTTCAGGAAAGTCGACTTTTGTAGTACAGACGTAGTACGCCGCGGACGCCCGGAGCTTCAGTGGCTGGAAAGTCGACTTTTGTACGCCGGTGGAATTCCGCATGCTTGAAAACCTCGCAAGAATAGCATGGAAGCGGAATTGCGCACGCTTGAAAACCTCGCAAGTAGCACGGAAGCGGAATTCCGCACGCTTGTTAAACCTCGCAAATAGCACGGAAGCGGAATTCCGCGTGCGCGAAAACCTCGCAAATAGCACGGAAGCGGAATTCCGCGTGCGCGAAAACCTCGCAAATAGCATGGAAACGCAACTCCGCGCGCTTGAAAACCTCGCAAATAGCATGGAAGCGGAATTCCGCGCGCGCGAAAACCACGCAAGAATAGCATGGAAGCGGAATTCCGCATGATTCAAAACCTCGCAAGAATAGCATGGAAGCGGAATTGCGCACGCAATAGCATGGAAGCGGAATTCCGCGTGCACGAAAACCTCGCAAATATCGGGGGACTCGAATTCCGGGGCCTCGAAAACCTCGCAAATATCGTGGGACTCGAATTCCGGGATGTCGAAACCATCGCAAATATCGTGGGGCTCGAATTCCGGGGTGCCGAGACCCTCGCAAATATCGTGGAACTCGAGTTCCTGGGCGTCGAAAACCCGAGTTCGCTGCTTCCAAAACCGTCGCAAATACCATGGTCTTCGCACATACCATGGTCCCCGAATTCGCTGCTTCCAAAACCTTCGCAAATACAATGGTCCCCGAATTCGGAGCTCGCGAATACCATGGTCCCCGAATTCGCTGTGTCCAAAACCTTACCATGGTCCCCGAATTCGCTGCTTCCAAAACCATCGCAAACACCATGGTCCCCGGATTCGCTGCTTCCAAAACCATCGCAAATACCATGGTCCCCGAATTCGCTAATTCCAAAACCTTCGCAAATACCATGGTCCCCGAATTCGCTGCTTCCAAAACCATCGCAAATACCATGGCCCCCGAATTCGCTGCTTCCAAAACCTTCGCAAATACCATGGTCCCCGAATTCGCTGATTCCAAAACCATCGCAAATACCATGGTCCCCGAATTCGCTGCTTCCAAAACCATCGCACTGAATCGTCTGCTGTTGTGACCGTCTCACTTTGGGGACTTGCCAGAGAAAAGAACATACTATCACCACACTGCCGTCGCAACATTACCATCACCGCATTATCATCACCCCTTACCATCACCGCACTACCATCGCCTCAGCTACACGTTAAATTCCATCTTCTTTGTGTTTCGCGCTTTCTCTGCCGTCGACACCACACCTGCTTCCTAGCCTACTACATCACACCACGATCACCGCACTGACAGCACAGCCAAGTAGACGTGTCAGTTGATATCTTCGCACCGATTGCTATCGGGATAATCGGTGTCTAGTTCATTTGTATATTTCCCACCTCAGGTCCAGCTCGTGCCGAGCCAGCCTTGTCCGAGCACCTTGGGCTCTTCTGGTTTGCGGCATGTGAGGTATGGAGATGGAGGGGGCCCGGAGGGAGCACTCACGGCACTGTTCTTGACGTAGGGGTTCTGTTCTGTCGTTTTGTAGATGGCAGCCTTGCAAACAAGTCTCCTAAGCGACTGCGAATGTGGCATCGGAAAGCTAGAGCCCAATGACTGCTGTTGCCCATTGCCGATCCGAAGCCTATATGGTCTTAATCCTATTTAATCCTAGCCTGATGCAAAGACTATCAAGATCTGGCACGATCAGTCAAGCTTGGTGGGGGAAGCTCCCAGGGCTTTGGCACCCTCAGGGCGGCTAGCTGTGTTCCTCCATGTCCAGGGTCGCCTACCGCACTAAACCTGAAATTCAGGTCACCCTCGGCAAGCAACTGGCTTGATTATTTTTGCTGCCACGCCGACAGGTATCGCGCTCTCCGGCGGCGCTTTCCTCACTATGCCGCTTGCCTGCAGGGCTATCGTGCTTGCATTTGCCTGCAAAGCCACCAGGTGGCCGCGGCAGCTCTCCATACTCGTAGGTTGCCATCGTATCACAAGCCGTTTCAATCGAATCCTAGCAATGCGTGAGAGGACGGCTATCGGGACCAGGGTTCATGAACTCAAATGTTCACGTGCGCATCGGATTCTGCTACCCCCAGCTTCACGACTACAGTAGAAGTCGGTCGATGTGTGCAACATCTCTCACTGACCGCGTCCTCCTGCGTTCCTTTCGCCAGGCTGCGTAGCGCAGTATGACGCAGTAGAAGTGCCCGAAGTTTCCAGCCCTGCATAAACCAACCTTGAAGGCGGCTGGCAACGGCAGACACACCAGCATATTGTGTCATTAATGTCTTGCGGCTTGCGGCTATTGGGGTTGAGATCAGTTGAAGTAGGTTGAGGATTGACTACCTACCTGAAGGATGCATTCGGATGTGGTCACTCACTGGGCGGAGCCGTGATCCTCCACGTGGCACCTCGGCCAGGTGTTAAGCTTTGTTGACCATTGCGCTTTCCTCATCTAGATGAACGCCGTGCCTTCACAGGACATCCAGACCTCACCTCCGAAAGGGAAATGCTCCAAAATGTTGTACAATGTTGTACAGCGTTGGACTTCTGACCCATGAGCCCAAAGCGGGGAATCGTGTCGAGGTTGTGACGTCGTTGACGCTTCCTTCCGGCCATGATCTTTGTTGTGTGTCGTAGCCAGGGCCGCCGTGCGATTGCTACATAGACTTGCTGCATTTCAGAAGCAATGAGGCAAAAGCTGTGGAGAAGGAGGCCGAGTTCGCTTTCAGGAGGGTGGACGTCTTCAACACGGTCAGCTGCTTAGATCGGGGGCGAAATCCGACACTCGCCAAATCAGATCATGCTGAACTGCTCAAGCTGAAAGCTTCAGCTCAACATGTGGGCTTCAGGGATGTCATTGCCCCTGAAGACTTGGTCTCGGAGACAAGCTGGCCAAGCACCAGCATTCAAGATGGTTGAAGCTGCAAGCCCCCCTAGCACCCGATACGTAGACCCAGTCAACCGGATTTACCGATCTAGCCTTTTGGAAACTAGGAGACCCCTGAAGCAGCCCATTGCCCTTTGCATCCCAGACAACATGTCTTAAGAACAAAGCCCTTTGAGGCCACATCCCCCTTGCCCGTCGCCACCCCAGCACCATTGGCTGCGACGGAGCTCCACGTGCACCGGGTCACCGGGGCACCTTGGAGTGGCTTGAGATAGCTAGGTAATGCTATATCTGGAGAAGCCAAGGGTAGAAGATCGTTGGTATTGGGTACTCCTCTTTGGTTTTTGAGAGGTGTTTCGAAGAGGGGTCTGAGATCTCAACGCAGTTCAGGCACCGATGACTTCGCACAGACATGAGCGACTTGAAGAGCCAGAAGAAGCATATGATCGGGAGCAAGAGAGGAGTTTCGATATCAAATGCGTGATTGAAAACGTCATTGAAACCCTTAGTGCACCAAAACCTCTGGCCCCAAATGTATCGAAACACCCCCGACTAAAACTCGACAGCTTGCAAGTCTGGGCCTGGGACCTCAGGCAGGTCCAAACGATTTGCCTGACGCCTACACCCAACAGCAAGAGTATCTCATTATCTTTCCGAAGGCCTTGCCTCAACTCAGCTCATGAGCCAAAGATACTTGCGAAGTCTCAAACCACAGGAGCACCAACACAAAGTAGAAGGTTTCACAGCTTGTTTGTTCGTGAATCAAGAAGCCACCACCTGCATGAACAGCCAAGGATTGGGCCTCCTGGGGGCTTCGCTTCTATGATCCGGGTTCGGGAAAGGCCGGGTTGAGCCGAAATGCCTAGTAGAAAAAACTCAGACACCGTTCAGGCATTTTGAGTTTTGTTTGGTTCTACATGGCCTGGAGGTTCCCAGATCCGAAGCTTTGATAAGCTTTGTGCCAAACCGGGCTTTGTGGATTTTGTGGGCTTGCGGGACTGTTCCGTGTGCTGCGCAATGCAGTCTGGCACGGATCTGCGCAATCTGGCCAGGTTGTGTCGCGCACCGCAACATACCGATCATGCTTGATGAGACCCACCGCGAATGAGAAAATTGTCGTGTTGGGTTCTGAGGGCATGGAGCGGGGCAAGACTTATTCAGTTTGATTCATCCAACATGCATTCTAGATTCAAGGTGCCTGCGGGAAATTTAGCAGGTGTCTTGAAGATTGAAGCTTATTCACTTGATTCAGTTTGATTCAAAATTGGACTTTTGAAGAAAATGACCAAGGGCCGGCGGGGATTCAAGATACTCCGCAAAGTTTCTTCGCCTCCAGAAAATGTCCATATTACACATGTAAATGTAAATTGCGGCTCTAAACTTATGGACAGGCCGCCGGGCCAGAGACATGTTAATTACTTGTTGAATGTCTTTTTTCAAGGGCACCCAATCATCCCAGTATCCACAAAACTTCATTGAATTGTTGTGAAAGCTGGGGTTTGTGATTCATGTATCCGCGAATCTTCGGGATCTTAATAAACGGGCGTGTCCCTGAGAAAGGCCTGCTTGCTTGTGGAATACAAAATGTGCGTTGTCATTGGGCATGCAGTATTGACAACGTCCGTATTTCTCAATGGAATCATTGGGTTGGCGGGGTTTATGGTTAATCTGCTGTGAGTCATGAGGCGAATCCAAAACAGAGCCTTTCCTCGAGAAATGATACCTATGTTGCGATGTTGTGGGGCCCCGCTAATCAGTAGCTAATCTGGATGTTTATGGTGTCTCATTGCGGTGGGTTTTAAGGGGAAACATATGTTTCGCAGCTTACAAGGTGGACAATGCATCCTATGCACGCGGCGTGCGCTTGTGATTCTTGTGCCCAACTTTCGGCTTCTTGTGCGCGCTTTTCGCAACACAGCGTATGGTCTCTATACTGACAAGGCGCCTACCAGGAGGCAATTGAGTTTGTTGCTGGACCATCTTTTCCTGGAGTTTGCAACCCCATCAAGCGGCCTTCGCAAGCACCTTGTTCCTGGAAGACCCACCGGTGAGCCGAATCGGAGGGCTCCCTCTCGCAGCGCTTGGGACGCCCTTGCCAAAGGCACAGGTCTCCGGGATGCGGGTGTACCTGAATCTGCCGGATTTCAATCATAGCTTTATCTGGGCTTCTGAAGCTCTACACAACGTTGCGAGAATACACTACGCATGTATGAAATCATATGTACATATGTTTTGGTGGCACATGGTAGCACATAAAAGTGGGAACCCGTGTTTGTTTTTTTGTTGTGAAAAAGGCACCCCCCTCCCCCCCGCACCCGCAGCGAACGTGCCCCCGCACCCGCAACAAAATAAACACCCTTACCCATAAAGTGGTGCTATTGACGCGAAGGTACTGTAACGGTTGGTTTGGATTTATGGGGGCTTATGTTTGGACGTTGTTTGCATGTAAAGTGGGGCCCACTGGCCTTGAGTGCTGATCTGCGCATTTATGCGCTGCGACTTTGCGTGCAAGGTCCACACGCGCAATGCCAAGACCTCCATCCCGGATCCCCATTCCTTGCGGCACTTCCTGCCGGACAAGGCACGCTTTAAGCAGACCTTCCACTTCGCTGGAGTAAGATCACACTTGCATGGCCAACTGCTTGGGCACTTCGGTGGGAAGACACTTGTATTGTGCTGACATCACTTCTTAGAACTTCTTCCGTTTCAGAAGGATGCAGAGGCAGACTCCGAGGCTTCAACAGCGACCTCGAGCACTGACCCGTGGTTTCAGCATTGAAACTCATGCCCCAGTGGAAAAGAAGCACCCGACTGAGAGCGTTTGAGAGTTCTTTAGGCATCTTCAGGACCTGAAACCCCGCCAACACCCTCCCTGTGCTTTCAGAATTTTCAGACCTGTTTCACTTCGTTTCGGTCAGCTCCAGTGGCTTGCCAACAAGGCGGCTCACCATGAATACCAACGAGCTTGGACTTGGCCCAGCAAACTAATTAGTGAGTTTATGGTCAGAGACGTGGCAACTCCGTAGCTTTAGCTCGCTGTTGCTGCGCCCAAGGATCGGCAAGCACTAATGGACACCATGGACGCTCAGGCAAAGAAGCTCACCATGGAGATCTCTTTTTGCGCCCTGAACCTGCAAAATAGGCCAAGACCCTGAGCAAACGCGCAAGTGCCATCTCCCTGCAAGTGAGACTGACAACATAACCCTGAAGGTCCCTAGAGCGACGAAAAGAACGATACTCCTGAGTGGCATGGACCTTTACGTATTATTTGGCGATCCCTTTCGTTTCTTATTTAAACAATGACTTTGCAAGTATCAGATATAGAGTATGATTTAATGTTTGTTGTTCCAAGTTTCAAGTTTCAAGCAACTCTTTGCAAAAGGGCTTGGGGTTTAGGATTTACGGTAGCCCACGTACCATATGATAAACATCTCGGCGCCCAGACCGGAACCATCAAGAATAGGTCAGTCATTTCTCTTTCGTCCTTAAAGGAAGTGATGACAAAGGAATATACGTGGAGATGGACATGTCGAATTCTTCATAGTCGTGGCTTTCCCTCTCTGCCTTCCTTTGTTTGACCCTTCTTCTCTATTCTTTTTGCCTTCATCTTTGACCAGCACGATCGAAAGGGAAAGGGAACATGCCACTTCCTCTCGATGTGGTTCTCTCTCTCCTTTCCTTCCCTCTTGCGATGTATCTCTTGTCCTCCCTCTCTCTCTCTCTCGCTCTGCTCTCTCTGCCATCTCTTGCTCTCTCATCCCTCCCCTCTCCTATATTGTTTCCTCCCCTCTTTTCCATTTCTGCAAAGAGTAAGGAACAGCATAGAACAGAAAGGAAGAGATAAGATGGAGGAAGATGGTGGCACGGTGAACTCCTCCTGCGCTCGGCTCCCTCGCTTTCTCTTCCGTTGCCGTTCTTCCTCTTCTCTTCTCCCTGTTCTCTTCATGAGAAAGGAATGAAGCGAACGGAGATCTCAGAGAAAGCAAGAGGCCCTCGCTCTCATCATCTTTGCTTCCTCGTCTTCATTGCTCGCTTCATCTCTCTCTCTCTCTCTCTCCCTCTGTCACTCTCTCTCTCTCTCTCTCTCCTCCCTCTCTACTTCTGCAACATCCCTTTTCCGCTTCTCTTTCCCGCTTCTTACCTTTGACTTGACGTTTATCTTTCTCCCACTCTTCCTCTCCCTTCTCTTCCCCTCCCTTTTCTCCCTCTTCCCTTTCTCAGTCAGAAGGACGATGCACAAGGAAGAAGGGAATAAGGGAAAAGACAAGAGAAAGAGAGAGCGAATCCGATAATGGCAGAAGGAGAACAAGGGCAAGAAAGAAAGACCGAAAGAAAGAGAGAAAGAAAGAGAGAAAGTTAGAGAAAGTAAGTGAGAGAGAGAGAGAGAGAGAAAAAAAAAAAAAAAAAGAGAGAGGGGAGGGTGGGATGAAAAGAGGAGGAGATGAAGATTGCAGCAGGGCCTTGTCCTCCGCCTCTGTTCATCCTTGTTCTTCCCTCCTGTCTCATTGGTGAAAACCCAAAACGAGCTTGCGTGGGAAGACAAAGGAGAAGAGGATTGGTAGCCGCGAGATTCGGAGGAGGAGTTCTCCTCTTCAATCACCCTCTGTCCTTCCTTTCAGCTCTCATTCATCCTCCTTGCTTTGCCATCTCTTGCGCTATCATCCCTCCCCTCTCCTCTTTCCTTCCTCCCCTCCTTTCCATTTCTGCAAAGAGTGAGGAATAACAGAGAACAGAAAGGAAGAGACAAGACGGAGGAAGACGGTGGGGAGAGGAAGGGTGAACTCCTCCTTCGCCCGGCTCTCTCGCTTTTTCTTCCGTTGCCTTCTTCATCTTCTTTTCTCCCTGTTCTCTGCGTAAGAAAGGAGTGAAAGGAGCGGAGAGCTCAGGGCAAGCAAGAGGCCTCGCTCTCATCATCTTTTCTTTTCTTGTCTTCGTTGCTCTCTTCATCCCTCTCTCTCTCCCTCTCTCCCTCCCTCCCTCTCTACTTCTGGAAGCAGACAAGGGAGTAAGGGAAAAGACAAGAGAAAAAGAAGCGAATCCGAGAGCGGTAGAAGGAGAACAAGAGCCAGGGAAAGAAAGACAGAAAGAAAGGGAGCAAGTAAAAGAGAAAGAGAAAAGGGAAAAGAGAATAGGGAGAGAGAGAGAGAGAGAGAGAGAGAGAGAGAGAGAGAGACAGAGAGAGAGGGAGGGGGGAGGGGATGAAAAAGCAGCAGGGCCTTGTCCTCCGCCTCTGTTCATTCCTTGTTCTTCTCTCACGTTTCATAAGCGATAAACCAAGACGAGCTGCGTTGGAAGAAAAAGGAGAAGAGGACTGGTAGCCGCGAGATTCGGAGGAAGAGTTCTCCTATTCACTCGCCTTCTGTCCTTCCTCAGAACAATACAAAGAACTGATAGAAAGAAGAGAGAGAGGGAAAGTTTCAAGCCCAGCGGAAGAAGAAGAGAAAGAGAGACAGACAGAGAGAGATAGAGAGAGAGAGAGAGACAGACAGACCGACAAAGAAAAAACGAGACCGAAAGAAAGAGTAGGAGCGAGAGACGGAGAAAAAGAGCAGAGGTAGAGGGAGAAGCAAGGTAGGAAGAAATGTAAGCTCAACCTCTCTACTATCTTCTTACCCTTCTCTTCTGCAAGAAAGAAAACTAATGTGAACTTGAGAAGGGGAAAGCCAAGAGACCCTATCTCTCTTGTTCTCCCACGGCCTATGCTTCTCTCTATGTCTCGCCCTGTCTCATTCCCTCTCTTCTTCTGCAAGTCTCTTTCTTTGTAGTTCTTCTTTCCATTCCTCTCACCCTCCTGCTCTTCTTCCAATTCTAATTACGAGACATACCACTCAGAAAACAAAGAATAAGTGAGAGATGGAGGAAAACCCTTGCCCTGAAGCCCGCTGAAAAAAGAAAGTAAGACAGACCGCGAGAGGGGGGTGGGGAAGAGAGAAGAGGGAGGAGCATGGTAAGAAGAAGGTGTATCTTAGGGTAGTTTCATGGTCCCTTAACATGGGCCCTCAAAAGGGGACCCCTTATATACCCCTTATGTGCCATGGACCTTTAGGTACAATGTGAGCACTTGTCCTTCTTTTACTATTCAAAGCCTATCCTGTGGACAAGAAAGCCGTGAGAGGCCTAATGTGTTTTTTCTTTTCAGCAATCTCACTCCCGCTCTGCCTCAGCAAATCTCTTTCTTCCTTTCCATTCCTTTCAACCTCCTCCTCCTCCTCTTCCAACTCTACGAGACGTACCACTCAGATAAGAAAGAGAGAGAGAGAGAGAGAGAGAGAGAGAGAGAGAGAGAGAGTAAGATCGATAGCAAGAGCGACGGGGCGATGTCTCATTCTCCCTCTCCTTCTTCAAATCTTTTTCTTTATAGTTCTTCCTTTCATTCCTCTCACTCTCCCCCCCTTCTAGTTCTACGAGACATACCACTCAGAAGAGAAAAGAAAGACAGAGACAGAGAGTGAGAAAGAAAGAAAGAGAGAGAGAGAGAGAGAGAGAGAGAGAGAGAGAGAGAGAGAGAGAGAGCGAGTAGCCATTTTGGCTCAAGCCACGAGTGCTCAAGCCCCACCCCGCCGTCCTGCGGGCTTCAACCAAAGAGGGGGCGAGAGAGTCGTGTGAGAGCCCTAGAGAGCCGAACGGGGGGGCGTCCGGCTGGACTAGACTGTGGAGGGATAGGGGAGCCTGCCCCCCCCTTGCCATTGCCGACCCTGCGACAACAACTACATCTTTGAACCACTACGCGACTTCCAGCTGGGGGCCCTGTACATCGTTGAGGTAGGGTTCAGTCCAGTACGGGGACCGCCGCTGGCCGTGCTGCTCCTCTACCTGAGGCGTGAGGGGGAGCTTGACAACCGCTACTTGAACGATATCGGCGGCCTACACGAGCTCGAGGGGGCGTACCGGATTATCCACTGCCCCTCGCTCGCCAGGGAGTATTTCAACGTCAAGTTCGTGACTTGGCAGGGAGACTGTGAATAAGATGTCCACCCTACTTCAAAGTGGAGGGGGGCCGGATGGCAGCCCGGGGGGAGGAACGGCCTCCAAACGGAAAATGGAAAAGGAGGGCCTCACGCTCGAGTCCATCCGTGTGGCCATTAAGGAGGAGCTAAGGTCGGAAAGACGAGAGTTGAAACTGGAGCTGCTGGGGGAGGTGCGAGCAGAAGTCAGGGAGCAGTTGGGGGATATCAACCAAATCCTCCATGAGCTCCAGTCCTTGCACACCGCACAAGCACAGACCCTGCATCGAGTGGATCAGGTGCAGCAACGGCAGCAAGCCAACATGGATGCCATGGCAGAAGAACAACGCACCCTGCGGGAACGCCTGACTCTTCTGGAAGGCAAGTTCGGGCAGCTCAACACCGGCACCTTGGCATCCAGGGGGGAGTCCTCCTCCTCGGAGGAAGACCGCAGACAACCAGCGCTCATCATAGGGGGGTGGGATGAAAACACCCCAGCCGCGGAGACTCTCCACCATGCACACTCCACTGCCGCGCAACTCCGGCTGGACATTGATATGGAGGGGGCGTTTGTCCCTGGGATTCGCAGGGGGTACGCCATCATACCGCTCAAGTACAAGCAGGACGAGACGGAGGGGGAACAGAGGCAGCGCGTCCAGAATGCCCTCCAAAAGGTCAGGAACGCCAACATCGTTCTGGGGAAGAAGCCGGACGGCACGGGGCAGCGCCTTTGGCTTGCTCTCTCACAAAGCCCCCAACGCCGAGCAAAGGCAAAGCTGGCGGGCAAGGCAAAGAGGTTGGCGCTCGAGCAAGGGGGGGACATCTCCAAGGTCGAGGCCGAGTTCAACACAGGAACAGTCTGGTTCCAGGGTACCAGAATCGCATCGGCCACCGCGGCCGCACCCCCGGACAGCTTGACGGCGGGGGCAGGATGGGTGGACGTTGTTGCTGTAGCCAGAATCCTCAAGCAAAGCGTGGAGGAGGTGAAAGCCACCTGGGAGCGCATCAAACAGAGCCTCTGACAGAAAAGGGGGGCACAGTTTCACCGCAGAGACCGCAAGCCGGGGAGAACGTACCGACTGGCAACTTGGAATGTGGGGGGGCTTAGACTCCCAGCAGTTTGGGACCTCTGCAAAATACTCGTG